GACTAGCCTGGCTGGGCATCACTTGACTGAGCTGGGTGGGTATCCTTTGACTAGTATGGTCGGCCATCCCTTGACTGGCCTGGGTGGTATATCTAGAGGGAATAAACACATTTTTCTTGTTCTTCTTACTGGTCCTTTTATTGTGGCCTAGTCCAAAATAAACTTTGTACCTATGGCTTGTATTTATTTTATGCCATTTTGTTTGGTTCACTTTATCTGGCTCTCTTCTTCTATGTTTCTTGGGCCTCCCTGGGCCACGTTTGAACAAAGGGGCAGCATAGTTTCATTAGGTGTTCTAGGCCATTTGTTTTGGCCATTCAATGGTGTGATCACTTCACTGTAACAATTTTCTTATGTGTTTTTGTGATAACACTTATGCACAGATTTGACTGGATCATACACTTTCCTATGTATGACAGCTACAGCATGTCTACATGGAATCCCAACAAGTTCCCAATAGTTGCATGCACATGTTTGTTTTTCCAAATCCACTACAAAGCTATCAGTAAACAACACATGTATGACTTGAAAGATTAATCTACCAGCATAAGTTGTTGTCCAACTAGCACTTTTTTCAATCTTTCTATCTAACCTCTTTAATGGTTTTGTCATTATCTATCATTTATAACCATCTACCTTTTCTTTAAGGGTTGCAAACCTTCCCATTAGGTAATTTCTAATCCACTCAAACATGGTTATGATGGGTTTGTCTCTTTGTAAAAGAATTGTAGCATTAAAATACTCATTTAAGTTGTTCATTAACACATCACACTTTGAGAAAAAATAAAAAGCATGCTTACACCATTTTATTTTGGGAATAACCTCTAACAACTCATAAGCCTCCAAACTGACCTCTTGGTCATAAGCATCATTGCCTCATGTGCCTCAAAATAAGTTTCCTTTGCAGCAACCATCATAAGATCTCTAAACAAAGTTCCTCCTCCAAACTTCTTTTTGAAGTTAGCATACAAGTGCCTTAAACAGAACCTGTATTCATAGGTTGTGTACTCCTCTTCTAAAACTTGAACTAGTCCCTAAACCAAGAATATGTCAATTTTATTATTATATTCAAGTGATTGGAAAAATGGAAAATTGTAAAAATACAAAGTTTGATGAAACTCAAGCTTACTTTTTGTTGGTCAGAGATGAAACACCATCTTCTATCTCCTATGTCTTCAATAAGCAATTTTAGAAACCAACTTTGTGAATCTTTTGTTTCAGTCTCAAGCACAACAAAAGAAATTGGAAAATATTGGTCATTAGGGTCTCTCTCAACATCAATGAGTAAAATACCACCATACTTGTGTTTCAAATGGCATCTATCTAGTTCGATGAATGGTCTGCATACTTTTGTCAAAGCTTTCTTGGTCCCATCAGAACACATATAGCACCTTTCAAATCTAGGTTTTAAACTATGACTAGGAACACTAATGTTGATTTGAAAGTGTTACCAGCTAAATCCCTTCTTAACTCAGCAGCATAGGACCATAAAAGGCTAAACTGTTTACTAGAATCTTCTTCAACAATGTGTCTTGCAAATTGTATTGCCTTGAATGCTCTATATCCTGGAATTTCTGTGGCATACCTTTGTCTAACACCTGTTACCACCTCACTTAACCTCATCCTTAAGTTATTCTTTAATCCATCAACAATGACCTTGGCAACCCACTCTGCTTTAGCATTTTTGTTGAAGAATTGTTTTCCATATTTATGCTTTGCATACAAAGTTTTAATTCTAAATGTGGTGGAGGTTAAAACTCTACTACAGAAGACTGTATAGTCACATTTTTTCTTGTCCTTACATACCACCCTACATCTATTAGCATCATTTTTTCAAACTTAACATCTCTACCATTCAAAACATTATGCTCTAAGAAACATCTTTGAACTGACTCAAAGAAGAAAACTCCATTCCGACCTTGAAAATAAAATCATTACTTAAAGAATCTTATTCATTAAACCTAGTTATACGTGGCATTTCATCATAAGTGTCATCATCACCGCCACTGTCCAGTTTACCAGTCATGTATAAATCTTCAATGACATGTTCCTTACACATCTCTTATGTTATAAAAATCTTCTTGTCTACATGAGTAGTACCCTATTCATTTGCAATAGGTTCATTTTTTGGTTCTCCCTCAAATCCATTATCAAGCCCTTCATCAAACCCTTTCATTCTATCCTCATCACTATCATCAAAGTGAACACCTCTCACAAATTCATCACTAGAATCATCACTTGTTTCACTCAACCTGTCACCATCTTCATCACATTTGATTCCCTTTCCCTTCTCTTTAAACTTATCCATAAAGGTATACTCTCTTGTAACTTTAGTCTCACAGAATATCTCAACCTCACACTTATTTCCTATAGCATACATGGCTAACTTAGAAGCCTCTCCATCATCCCTAAATGGTTTTAAGTCTTGTTCAAAAGATCCTTCACCATGTTTCCACCACATCTTAACACCACCTATATTAAACTCAGGTTTAATCAACTTAACTAGGTCACATGCTTCAAAGAAAGACCAGTAATCAGGATCTTAACCACTAAAAGCATATATTTCCCCTCCCTCATATCTTATGTTAGAGTCTTTTACAAAACAACCCTTTGAGTAAAATACAACCTTGAACTTATCCATTTCCTGTACACAGAATTTAACCTAGGTTCAAAATTTACCATTACTCTGTCAAATTGATTTACCCTAATTTTTTTTTCTAAAATTAACAACAAACTTAACCTATTATACAAACGGTAATACCATGCAACAAATTAAATAAAACGGTACCACTGAGAAATCAACAAAGATGACATATAAATAGAATAATAGAAGAGGGAACATAGAAGAGACATAATACATTACCTGGGACCACTTGCTCAGCTTCTCACGAAGTTGTTTTTGGGATCACTGCTACGAAGTCAATTTGGGACCACTGCAAACCAAGATTTCTTCTTTGAATAGAGCGAAGACTTGTTCCTCGTTCCTTGATCAAAGCGCACCTCCAAGATAACAACAATGAAAACTTCTACTAGGTCACACTATTGAAGTGGAGTGTTTGTGTCGTGTTTCATTTTCATCAGTTAAGAAGATTACGTTATCAGTATTTCTACGGTGGCAAATTTCACACGTAACCAAAGCAAATATTACACTTGGCGTGCCACATAAGCCTTCGTTAGTGGAAACTAACGGGAGGGACCAGATTTGAGGACGAAAAAATTTGTGAGAACCATTGTTTGAAGAAAAAATTTGGAGGGACTAAACTTGAAAGTTGGCATATATAAGGACTAAAAATATATTTAACCCATTAACATATTAGGTTAAATTTACTATATTTGTATGAAATTTTTGAAAATTCGATAAAATTGAAAGGAAAAAAACTCATAAATATGCATGACTTGTGAATATTCGTCTAAGTCCAACAAAACCAAAATTTTACAAAGAATTTTGAAAAATTCATGGAAAGTAAATAAATTTGACAGTATTTACTTATTTTATAAAATAGTTAGTTCATACACCATGTATGAGTGTGGGATGCAAGTAAAATTTTCCTAAGTTTAATGGTGTCCAATATATTTGACAATTCTTAAAGCACCATAGATGCTTCTTAGACACATTTTAAAATTCTAAAAATGTCTGTCAATTTTTAGAGATATATCTTTGAGCACACCAAATACACGCATTTCATTCGTTTTTGAGTTACACCACAGTTTTATGAATAAATTTATTTCGAAAAGTTTCCAAAAATGTATTTTCAAAACATTTAAAAAAATAGAATGCTATAAGGAAGCATGTTGAATCAAATGAAGCAGAAAAAACCATGCTTAATTCGTGTATGATAATAGTAAAAGTATGTCTGATATGGGCAACCACAGATGACGAGAAGAGATGAAGAGAATATAGTCGCTAGATTGAAAACAACAACAATAAATAGTATAAAAGTAAATTTAAAATCAATCACCTAAATGACAAATCTTTCATCCATTCCTTCAACGGATAAAAGTATTGAACACGGAAGAGAAGCAAATAGATAAAAACGGATGGAGATTATGCAATTATTAAAATTAAATGGAACAACATTAAAAAAAAAAATACACCATTGCAACCTGAAAAGTGTTAAAAATAAGAACAACGTGACATCAATTCAGTTAACACCCAAAACAAATTTATAGGCACCATATCAGACTTCTTTTCTTTTTTCTAGAAGATTCTAGAAATACATTTTCCGAAACTTTTTAAAAATATATTTTCAAAATAAATTTATTTATAAAAGTGTAGTATCACTAAAAAAGAATGAAATATATGTATTAGATGCATATGAGGATATATCTCTAAAAATTAAAAATATTTTTTAAATTTTATAAAATATTTAAAAAACATTCAGGATGCTTTAAGAAATCCCCATATTTTCTTCGCCACTTTCTCGTTAGGTATAAGGTGACCCAATAGCTAAGTCCAGCAGCTTTGTTTCAATTTTTATTTTTAAACTTATAAATATTCTTGTTCTTGCTAGCTATATAAAACCATCTTTACATATTTTTATTTTTTTTTGGAATAAAATCATCTTTGATAGCATGCATCAACCCAGAATCAATGTTTCAACACTTGGTCACAATAACAAGATCATTCATTTTGACTGAAAAATACAACAATCTAATTCTCACAAATCAATCCAACTCTAACCTTGTACAAAATTCATCCTTTTGACAATACCATATGAACAAATCACTATCCCTAAAATACATGTAATATATACCAAAAATACCCAAAAATAAAAAAATGAAATATAATGTAGGTAGTACTAGTAGTAGTATCAAGGATTTGTCACTGCACAGCTGAGACCAATTTTCCTTAATCAATCTTAAGCGGCAGCTAACCCAAAACCACAAGACTTAAGACTTGTTTCAATAACTCACGTGTACGAAAATCAATTAATTAACCTCACAATAAATCTAATTTTAATTATCTTCCATCTAATCCTCCTTTTTTTTTGTTTCTTCAATTAAGAGTTTGAAGACAATGTTGACAAAGTAGTAGCTGATGAAGTTCTAGGAGAGGGAGAAGCATTCTTCAACACCACAGTTGGTAAAATGCTAGTTTTTCTCCTCTCTTGTTCCTTTATCAATTCTCCCCCAAACAACTCTAACTTATCCAAATTTGTGTTCTCCACAATCTTTCTTCCTTTAAACAATACAGATTCAACATTCTTCTGTGCCAACATCTCTTCCGAAACAGCCAACAAATCCGACGACGTTTTCGCAGTTTTCCCCTTAGTTGCATTTGCCATCACTCCATTTGATTGAATCCGCACATAATTGTTCACCCTACACTCTCCAAATGCCATTGATACAGCTTGATCAACCTGCATTATAATATTCATCTATTACTTTACGATTCTGCGTAGTTATCAATTGAAATGATTTATTAATTTAAAATTTAAAATAATTATAATATCAATGCTAATAATTTAACTTACTCATCACACTTTTTTATTTCTAAAAAAAACTACTTGTGCATAAAGGGACGTGTTTTTGTTAGGTGAAACATTCATTACTCTTAGCCTAATTAGTAACCACCACCCATTCAATTTCAATTATTCATAATTGAATAATTGATGAAAAATAATTCAGAGATTCGCAAATTTATTTTCTTTGTCGTTTTTTATTTATTTAAATACTATTTGAAAATAATTGATTATTTTTTTAATAATTAATATAAGATTTGTTTCTTACCATATCGGAAGCTCCTTCACCAGCTATCCTCACGAAGCCTGACGGAGATTTAACGGCGTTAAAGTCCAATTCTCCGTTACCGAGAGAAAGCACCAACAAGTCAGAGACGCCATTGCAGAATGGAAACTCGTGTTTGTTGTTTAGCACGTGCGTGACGGCTGTAGCCGTTGGATTGTTCATCGCTATTCCTCCGTCAACGGCGATAATCTTTGTTTTTCCATCGATGGACTTCATTTCGATGGGAACCACTGGATCAGCTGACGTGGCAGCACACACGTCGCGCATCTTGTAATCGTAACCGTCGGTTTCGAGTGCGTCGGCGCGGGAGAAAACGAACGGAGCGCGCGTGACGAGATCGTAGCAAGGGATTAAAACCGGTTTCAGTGTATCCTTCAGAGTAGATTCACCGAACGTCTTTCGGAAAAGCTTCTCCGATTTTGTTTCCGATTGTAGAACTCGTCGGAGAATCCCTGATCGCCGTGAGATTCTGCTGCGGTTGTTGATCAGGAACCTCAACGCCTCATCGGCAGTGAACATGGGGAGACCGTCTTTTCCACGAGTGAACAAAAGCGCGGCAAGGACACCACCGACACCGGAGCCAGCGACGGCGTCGAAGAAGCCTGCAACATGAGCGTTAGGATTGCCGGATTTTCGTTTGAGGCAGGATTCGAGGTGGGCGAGGGACTTTGCAGCGAGGATGCCGTCGGTGTAGCCGGCGCCGTCAATGCAAAGAATCCTAACTTTGCCAGCGGCGTGTTTAACTTGTTTAACGTCTTTGGAGAGAAATTGAGTTTGATTCTGAAGCGAATTCTTTGGATTTTCAGTGTCGGTATAACCGAAGAGGAACTTATTCTCCAAGATGGAGAAGATTTCGTAGGTGAGTTTGTCAACTTCGAAGCTGTTGTCAATAGAGTTCAAGTTCATTGGTGACGTGGACAGTGCCGCCATTTCTGCAATTCGAGTGAATGTGTTTTCCTCTTGTTGAGTGAGAAAGAGAATTAGAGAGAGAAAGAGAATTTGTGTATTGTTGAAAAATGCTGAATTGTGATGATGAAGAATAGAGGAGGACGTGTGGTTATATAGTGCGAGTGAGTGAATGTAACGATCCAAGAACATTCCAAAGGTGTCCCATTTAATCGCCATGTCATTTTATATTTTTTTTCCTTTTCTCCTTTATAGTTATTTTTATTTAAGATAGATTTTGCCACATAAGTGACTTAACATATACATAAGATAGGGGTTTAAATTCAAATTTTAATATTTTATATGTTTATTTTTTAAAAGTAAATTTTAATCATGTGATTCTAACTCTTAAATATAAATAAATACGGTGTCAGGTGTTACATTAATATTTTTTTTCACATAATCAACTGAGTTATTTATCGCGATTTTGTTGTACATATATTTAAATGATAGAGATACCTCAGCTCAAATTTAAGATTGGCGGTTAAATAAGAAAGTAAGACATGTACTATTTGATTCTACAATTCCTGATGCCGCCTTGATTGAGAAATTGTTTGATGACTAGTGTAAAGGAAGAAAATTAACGGTATTTAAAACTAAAGTTATTGTGAGAAAAAGTAGTGTTTTGTTCAAAGAAAAGATAAAAATTGGGCCAAAATAGTTAGAATTCAACAAAACTTTAAGTAAGATGATGTTGATGTGGGTGAAATTTAAATTTGTGTTGGTGGGTTTGTACTATGTACAGTCTTTAACATAATCTATCTTTCCTTTTTGTGCTCCACCTTTTCTCCCGTGCTATTGCTTTTTTCTGTTGCTTTTGTTTAAGTTTATGAATTTTAAAACTTAGTGGGGGGAGGAGAATGACGTGGTTTAATCTAATGCTTTGATCTTATTATTCTAATATTAATTTATCGATATTTCTGTAGAATATATTATCAATATCATTTTCTGTCGTTTTATGATAACTTTTTTTAATGGAAAACCAACTTTCAGGACCAGTGCTTAATTTCAAGCATGCGCAGATTAATGCTAAAAATTGAATTGTTGTATAACTCCAAAGGTAAAAAAGAATTGACTTTAAAAGTTCAACCTATCATTTAGTAGCGATTACTAAGTCAATACACTTAATTACATCGTTTTCATAAAAAAACATAATTTATATCGAATATAATAATTTGTTTCCTCTTAAATGGAACTTGTATTTGCAAATTTATTTAAAATTTTAATTACTCTTCTAATCCATACGAGTGTAATCCATATGAGAGGTAACAAAATTATTAATTAGACTACGATGTCTTATATTACCTCAGTTTTAAAAGAATTAAATATTATATATATATATATATATATATATATATATATATATATATATATATATATATATATATATATATATATATATATATATATATATATATATATATATATATATATATATATATATATATATATATATATATATATATATATATATAAAAGATAAACAAACAACAAAATGCATCGTTACTTTTTTTAATCACAAAGTCATTTTTTAAAAAAACTATATTTATAAATCTAGAAGATATAACATTGATATTTAGAAGTCTTTAATCTCTCTATAAAAGATCCACTACTTATGGTGTTAGAAAATCAAAAGTGCCAAAGGCAAATATCGTAACGCATATTGATTGCGATAACACGCTTTCTCATGTTTGACCACATTGCTTGAAGCAGCTTTGAGAGTTGTTTGTCCTAAAGTAAAACCACCAGCCCTCAATCCCACCGGTGGAGAAACTCCAGCCAAGTCCATACAAACATGTTTCCCTCCTACCCACCCGTACAACACAACATCTGTTGACTTAAGTGTCGATCTCCCCTCAAGTGGGTCAGTCAAAAAATTCACAGTCGTCTCTTTTTTCACAGATACTATGACACATCGAAATATATCAAACAGGACATCCCTAACAAGATCGTGTCGATATTTAAAGCCTGGATGCTCCATACAATGAATCGATTGTTCTCCAAATGTATCCAAATACGTCATACGAAAAATAGGGAAAACTTCATCAATAGGAAATAAAGGAATCATAAGAAGATAATATGATACTCCACAAATGACATATGTTGGCATAACCCATCAATAGGAATAGCAAGGAGAAAGCATTAAACATGTGCGGCGTGTAAAAAAACCAATAATTCCCTTCTGCCTTGTAGTTATGTCAAACTCTACATCCATGTCCTTAACAATTTTACTAAAAAGGGCACTCGCCAAAACATGTTATGCTTTAGGAGAGACAATGCCCTTGCTAAGGTCAAAACCTGGAATTGCAAAACTAAGACCATCCAAACCTCTGTCGAAATTCGAGTCCATACCATACACCCCATTGTCTTTCAATATATGATCCTGTAACACTCAAAATTTGGCCCTAGAAGTCAGAAAAGCGTATGAACAGCCTCTACTGCCGAGTAAAGTCCCAAACCCCTAACTCTAATGGGTAAAGAAGACATCATTCATTGAATTCCCTCGAAGAAAGGATATTCACCAACCACGATGTCTTCAACTGTCCTTCACAACTCTTTATCAAACCAAATAACTATTTTTCCATATGATTAAGTTGATACATTTCTTATGCCAAAAAATGATTTGGAAATACCCATGCAGGATCGAAGTAGAAGAAGCTCACTTCGAGGATCCCTTAGTTGGGGTAGAAGGTGCGTTAGTTCTATAACGGTGGAAGCTCTCTTCATGAACAACTCCTTAATAAAGTTGTCATGACTAACATCACCTTCAAGCAACTTCATCTCCAACATTGGTCTCCCAACGTCCGACAAGAACAAATCCTCAAGAATTTTATTACCATCACATGAAGGCCAAAAGATCCTAGTCTGACATATTCAATTTGATACCTAATCTTAGACATGTCTCCCAAATGATACCAAGGGCTTTAAAAACCTCTTGTGAATCCCCTATAATAGTCTCATCATTAAGATACCACACATTATGAAAAATCTTACAACTGTCTCTAACCTGATGAATGAATCGTCTAACGCAGGAGCAAAAAGGAGCAACCCTAACGGGTCGCCTTGTTAAACTCGGGTGGCTGGTATCTTATGTACATCCCCAAGGTACAACCTTGCTTCTTAGCCATTAAGAAACTCAACCCGCAAATAAATAGATGGTTATTTCACCCTCACCTTGCGCAATATGACTTATTGATCTACCATGTTTAATGCATTCAAGAAATCTACAATGAGCATGCCCAATGAACCATCTCTGTGTCGCTTGCTTAACTTCCTGTTGATACTGTTCAAAATGGCCTCAACACCACCAAACTAAAATTCATTGAGATAATGTGCCACATCTTTAGTGACCCATTTAATAGCAACCTTAGATACCAACTGTCTCTAAATAGAACCCACAATAATTGGTTGTATCCTACCATCAGGCTTTAATAATGGCGCCAAGGGTACAGAGGTAACAAACTCTTTCAAACTCATGGGTCATCTTCCTCCTAGACATAAGTTAACAACTAGAGTGGTTGTGTATAAAAGAACTCTTGCCACAATAAAACTTTCTCTACACAATGTTTCTAATATATGTTGAGCACACAAACCATCACTACCACATGACGTCCCCTTGGGAAATGATTTAATACACTTGAAGATAATATCTGCAACAACCACCAATGGAGCTTCCAAGAAAAAGGTGGTCGACATGGAAGGAGGTGGTATGTACGGGTGCTTAACATCAAAAGCCTTTATTTTATGTCCATTACAAAGGGCACTCTGCATGATCCTTGTAACGATCCATATAATATATATATAGAATAATATCATACAAGTGTTATTATTTGGTACTAACACAATCATAAGTTCCTATTGGCAATATTTACATACTTGACCATTTCTAAAAAAATAAAAATAACCTATGGTGCAAAATATGAAAAGTGCCAAAAACATAAAATCTAACATCTAAGTACAATATTCGTCATTGTACAATATACACATCGGAAAACATAATATAACCTTCTTGCGAAACATCCATGCATAGCTCTAATTGCAAACTAAACATGCAAAAAATGCTTGAAAAATAACCACAATAATGGGGTGAGATAATAATCTCAGTGGGTTCCCATATCTTATGGATTCACTCGGCTCTACAAGGTTCTAATCTATCCTAACTCATGTCTAGGGGAAAAGGGACATACGACTTGATCTCAAAAACTCACAATGTATGGAAACATGTATCTTGAGTTCATCAACTCAAATTATCACTAGCTCGGAAACCATACCAAGGCAAACTTTCCTGTCTTCTCCTACGTCTAGGACTATTGGTAGGGGTCACAGATCCTTGTATTGTAATTTGATATACAAAATGGATTCGGATTCAAGGTGATTCCCACATGAATTTTCGCTTCCCATGGGACCTATTCCCATCTCAAGCCTTTTACCGTTAGGCTTCATTCGTACACACGGGACTCAAACCTGTCAAAGTAATAGTACGTACATCCCAAATGAGCTATACATAAGCATCAACTCTTAATACATCACATCTCAAGGGTTGTTTCCGACTACGTGATGAAATACAACATAACATGATTGTATTCGACAATCACAAGGTGGCCACATTCACCTTAATCACAAAATAATAACACATGTTCCATACAATGTATCTAACTCACAACTATGGTAACCATTCATCCATGACACACACCTAGGTATCATATCATGAATGTCACCCTCTAGTGTTATCTAAATCATACCTGCAACCTATTCTCTTTTAAATCAATTTTCCTACTTTTAAGCATAGGTTTCCTCACTTATCTTCATATTGTTTTAAGCATGCTATCACACAATCAAACATATGAACATACACATATATCATACATAAAACACGTATGGTGACATAACAAATCAAATATAAATAATGCACATAAGGCATACGATCATCATAATAACTAGGACTTTCAGAGCCAAGCCCCTCACTAAAATAGGACTTCTAGAGT